AGATATATGGTAGTCTGGTATATAAAAGAGGGTGACAACGTGACGGGACAATATAGTGTGTGGGTAGACAGTGAGTAATTGATCTGCAGTTAGAGAGAGACATATTGTTGAAGTTAACGTTTGTTGTTCTAGCATTTGTTTTAGCGCGATTGTTGAAATTAAGTGTATTGAAAAGTTATATTCAGAAAGAATAAACCAGTTTTATTAAGTAAGGACTTGTGTCACTAAAGTTTCGTCGGAACGAAGTTACGGAAAGTTAACTAACAAACGGAGACGTAACAATATTTACTTATCAGCCACGTAGACCTGGAAATACTACCACTAAATGCAGTAAGGACTAGGAGAAGTCCTCTTCTGGATCAAGGATATATGCATGTTTGTATTCTTTATCAACCCTCAGCGCCTAGAAATTGAAAGATAGCTAATGAAAACCTCTGCTGACTACCTTCCAAATGCCATATCATAGGGTGATAAGGATGGGTCATGACAGTAATGACCAGTTTAGAAATCCCAACACTAAATGGAGTGATCTCTATGGGGCACCTAGGTATACACTGATTAGCACAGGAATTATCAGATTTCTTAGCACTCCATTTATGTTTTATTTCAAATGTTTGCTTGTAGAACTCTTGTGAGTGATCTTTCAAAATCATACCAATGGGTTTGTCGTGTGTACATCTATATCAGTTTTAATAAAGTGCAGTAAAGAAGTTCTTCTCTTTCACTTTACAAGAAATTAACATGCACTGTATACATCTTGGTGAAGTGTTTATTTTGCTAGATTTTGTCCAAGTTATGTTTCATGAGTATTTGATTTAGAGGGTTTCCTTACCTTAATCTGGCAGTGCTGGTGGGAAAAGCATAGAGACTTTGGTTTGTTACTATATTATAATTTCTGAAGTGATTTTACAGTTTTTCCTAGTGCTGAATTTATATTTGTGGCATTGCTCAAACTGTTGTTATTCTAACTCATTACATGGCACCTCATCAGAACTGTGTGTGTTCCAGTAAACATGATGAACAAATTATGCTGAAATTGGTTATCAGTGATAGTACTGAACAGTTATTTCATCTACTGCAAGTATGCATTGGCTAACAGGAAACATTAAGCAAGGTATGTGCAACAGGTTATATATATATATATATATATATATATATA